TAATAATAATAATAATAATAATAATAATAATAATAATAATAATAATAATAATAATAATAATATAATAGGGAGGTTTCGCAAGCTTATGAAATCGATAACGAATACGTATACGTCAATCCATCCCATACAGTTGCATATCTGTCACAAAGTGGGCGATCCGTGACTTAAAAAAAATATTCAGCTCATGTTGTTAATAGAGAGGTTTCACAAACTTACGAAAACGATAACGAATACGTTTACGTCATCAAACGTTGTATACCAGTTACGTTATTTAGCTCGTAGGCTTATCTATTATTGTGAAGAATGTTTTAGGCACGGAAGACCAGGGGCGGACCCAGAGATGTCTGAAAGGGGTGCCGAAAGTGAGGCCGATTGAGATAACACCGCCCTAGGGAGTCCAGGGGCATGCCCCCGCGAAATGTTTGTTGCTAGACGCCCGAAAATAACCTTTAAGGCGTTTTGGGGATAATTTTTTCTTTTTCTTTATTTATTTTTTTTTTTAACCTTCCAAAAGTGGAGAGGGGGCGGGGGCCGGGGCCGGCCCCTGATGACGATAATGAAGATGACCTATTCGTATTTGATATCGTTTTCGTAAAGTTGCGAAATTTCCCTATTAATGTTTTAGGCAGGAAAGACGATAATGAAGATGACGAATTCGTTATCGTTGCTGCGAAATCTCCCTATTGTTTTCGTATTCAATAGCACAGTATGTTTATTGTACTCACGAAAACTGAAAAATAAATTAGAAGCATCCGGTATATAGAATCATAGAGGTACTATACTATAATATCAAAGAAATGAGTGGGTATCGAAGTCAGATGAAGCAAAACAGAAAGTTTATATACAGTAAAGTGGAACAAGCAAACGTAAGAAAGGAAAAAGAATCAAAAGTCCTTTGAGTTCATGTTCATTGTAGTATTCGATCCGAATTAATCAATCAATCAATCAATCAATCAATCAATCAATCAATCAACCAACCAACCAATAATAAATCATCATTCAATCAATCAATCAATCACCTACCTAATCAATCACACCTTTATGTCAACAGTTAAAGTATACAGCCACTCACGCACTGCCTCGTGCGACCGTTGACCGATGAATCCAACTCCGCTCATTGTAAGAGTTAGACGACGCGACGCCGCCTGCTGATTGTCGGTGGCAACCTGAACGGCTCCGTCGGGCGCGCGTCGTGTTGTTGCGTTCTCCATACAATGGAATTATGATAGTATACCATATTAAATGGCCAATATCTGTATATTATTACTACTTCTTCATTCTCTTATTAAATGATAAATTTCTGTATGAACCGAGATAGAGCGTTTCCTTCGGCTACACCTCGTTTTGTCAAAACCGTGGTAAGACTTCAATAAAACGACCCAGTAGCTTTATTTAGCCTCTCTTCTAGCAATCTTGACATTTTGTAGATGAGGTTGCCCTGATTTTTAAAATGCCTGATTGACAATTTATTGATTACTTCAAGCCAAGTAGACCTATGAAGTCATTGGTTCTAAGTCTCTGGAATTCCATGATTACAACTGCGTGTTTAAGGTGCAACATTCTAGAATTAGTGTCCTACCCTATATCTACTTTCGATAAAGTAGAGATAAATAATATATATATATATATATATATATATATACATATACATATAAGCAATAGGAACAGAACAATCTGTGTTGTTTTACGAACCATATTCAAAATGACGAACTTGAAAAATTTACATGAAAATAAAAAATAAAACTCAATAGCATGTCTCTTTATTTTTATTCATGATAACGAAAAAAAGTAAAAACGTTGTTACTTTATATTCATGTAAACTTATAATAATAATAAAGCACAATTGTTACCACTTCAAGTTTTTTTAAGAAAATAAATCCCGTTTTAAGATAGATGTGTATAAGAGACACCACCAGAACCATTAACGATCTGTCTATATTTAATACACTATCATGCATATCACAACTTTTTCTGGAATTACTTACTTAATATCGACGACGAAAGATACACAAGAAAAATAGGTCATGAAATTTCTTTCAACCATGTTGTAGATTTTAAATAGCATCACCAGTAATCGGTGCTATCGCCTAGGCCCCAGGATAGGCAAGGTTATATCTGGTTATACTGTACCTTCAGGCGTGCCCCTACACACCTGCATAGAATACCTTCACCTAAATTGATAGGACTACCTGTCGTATAGAATGATCATTGATTTCATTTTAATGCCCCTGACACGATCTCCTACAACCAATTAATGACACTCCTCTTATGCAAGTACTTGAACGTAGTATAATTACCATTTTCTAAACTGTCTGTTTTGAGCATGTGCAATTAGGCTTTACCAAAAATCACCAGAAACAAAGCTACGTCAGTTGTGTCTAAATCTAATTCATGTAATTTAATCTAAATGATTATTTCACCCCACCCCACTCCCCCCCCCCACCGTCGGGGAATAATTTAATTTGTCGGGGAATATTTGTATTAATTACAACATTTTGTGTTAATTATAGAATTCCTTATTTTAAAAAAATAATTTGATAGAAAACTATGCAAGTTGAGAGTCCACAGTCCTCGTGTCTGGGTGTACTAACCCCTTATCGGACGTACCAGCTCCCTCTCGGGGAAGAGCTGACGCCGCCACAGCAACCCATACGATCGCAATAATATACAACACTCGCACATGCGGTAGCACTGCTCGCTCTAAGCAGTTTTTAATCCCTAACATTTGACAGCTTAGTAAGGCATGCTTGATTGTACTTTCGGCGCTCGAGATTTTATTTTCCCCAACCAAGCGGTGGGCCCTTTTTCCCCTTGGACCCTCTGCTAGCGCCGCCCCTGTCACACCATAATGTCGCAGAAGGTTGTCAACGGAACACTGTATATTTGAGCATATAACACCTACTCTTCGTCGCCTGCACTGGTTACCTGTTAAGCAACGCATCTCATTTAAATAATAAATCACCCTCATACATATCCAACCTGATTAAACTTCGCTCCACCACTTGTTCTAGAGCTTTAAGATCTACATCTAGTTCATCTACATTATTCATCCCTTCATGTCGTACAAGAACGTATGGTGAAAGAGCATTTTCCGTTGCTGCTCCCAAGGTGTGGAATAACTTGCCTATCTTTGTTCGTGAGTCTCCTTCTGTTGAGATATTTAAAAATCGTCTCAAAACTCATCTCTTTAGTTTATTTTAATTTGCAAATTTCTAGCCCATAGAGACCTATGTATTTTGCGCTTTACAAATCCAAATTATTATTATTATTATTTATTATTATTATTATTATTATTTATTATTATTATTATTACTATATCACGGCACATCTTAAAAATTAGAGGCCTAGTCTCGAAAGAAGTGAGATTTACCTGTATTTATGGACTCGATGGTATTATGATGACCCAATTTAGGCCTAATGTTCATCTCATTCCAACAACATCAACTAATACAGGTAGACCTAATTAGAATATCGCAGACAAGATTAGCACATGGGCCAGTCAGACAGGTTTACACGGCACGGACCAAACGGGCAAAATAACAGTCTGTTATTAGACTCGCCAACATTTTAACATCTTTTAAAGTCGATTTGTTTAGCGCCTATTACTTGAGAAAAGTGGTTTATATACACAAGACGAACTAAAATTTTCCGAAGATCAGCGAGGCTAATGAACAATCTGTGTTGTTTTACGAACCATATTCAAAATGACGAACTTGAAAAATTTACATGAAAATAAAAAATAAAACTCAATAGCATGTCTCTTTATTTTTATTCATGATAACGAAAAAAAGTAAAAACGTTGTTACTTTATATTCATGTAAACTTATAATAATAATAAAGCACAATTGTTACCACTTCAAGTTTTTTTAAGAAAATAAATCCCGTTTTAAGATTATATGTTTGAATAATAACGTGTGCATTTATACAATATCAATACAAGTTTTTGGAATTGCATCGTGTGTCCATCGTAGAGGGCGGTCTGGTAAAATTATAGAAGTCTCTTGGGGAAAATGTTCAGGATGTAGATTTATTCGTTTCCCTTGAATTCTTAGATTAGCATCTTTGCACATGCTCAGGTTGATTCCACGCAGTGCATGGTAGTCGATGATAACTTTGCGAGTATTTTTGCATCCATACAAATTTAAATAATTTAAAGTCGTGCTTTCCGGTATAATGACTTGGTCGAACCCGTAACTCTTCTCCAAACTAAAATGCTGTAGGTTACAACATGAACCTAACGTCATTTGTAAAGCATAGTCTGTTACATGACATCGATAAAACACTATTGATCCCACAGCTGGTGTGCTCACAATTACCGCTCCAATTCTACAGTCAAAGAGACGCAAAACTCCTATACGTCGGGTTGCCTGTACAACAAGGGAATCAAGCACTAGCCTGTTATCATTGCATATATTGACTTCGAGGTTCTCTAGTTCCTGACATTGAATCGTGAGGTTGTGTAAGAATGGAATGCTGGTTAAACTAATCTGCTGTAAGTGGTCAGCCACCAGAAGAATTCTGTTCAAACTTGGCAGTTCGGCTTCCTCTGCCAAATAAAGAGTTCTTAAAGACTTGCACCTGACATTTAGAGATCTGCAGGCGAAGTCTTCCATCAGAACCAAGTTCTTGAGACTTTGGAAATGAACACTGTCGAGGCAGATGTCCTCGTGACCAACATCACCAATTGTCAGCTTCTTCAACGACGGATTATCAGCAAGACATCTGAAAAGACTGCGTCTATCGATTGCTGCGCAGTTGCAGATGCAAAATTTTAGCAAGGTTTTGCTAAGTATAGTTAAAGTTCGAACAACACCGCTGCCATCTATGTAAAAAGAATTTAGATTAGCGGCAAACACTTCGACATGCTCGCTTGATTCTAAGCCATTTTCCACTCTCATTTTGTTCAGGTTGGGGGCGCAAACACTCACGAAGAGCACCGACCACAGATTGTAAAGTGTAATAGATTTTAGGGACGCTGATCGTAGACGAATCCCGTGCAGCGTCTAAAAACCAAAATATTTAATAATTAATGATTATCAGTATCAAGAAACTTATTTAACATTATATCAGTTGTTCGTTACCATACAACACCATCAAGAAAGCATCACGTTTAACTTCAAAACATCTTTATGCAACAACAGAAAAAGCAATTTTGTCCTTCTTAATCACATTTGATCATGAGACTTAGGCTAATATCTATGCCACATTCCTACGCACTAAGAAGTAAATTTTATTCAATATAAATTTCAACATAAAAAATACAAATTTACAGAGGGTGGTAAAATAAAATTCTTTGGCAGACAATGTCTTTTACAGACCACAGCCAAATGTATAAATATTGATACCGTTAAGTTGTTATACCATAACAACTTGACGGTTGATTAAAAGTGGCAGTCTGCGTAATTCACGTGATTATTTTGAGAACGTAAGCATCTAACATTAGGCCTATGCAAGTACGTGGCGCCATGCAAAAATCGTAACTCGTTGGATAGATACGTACAGTAATTGTGTTTATTATCTACGGAAAGTACGCGTAGGAAAAAAAAAACTCATTGGAGAACATTGAGTGACGTATAATGCAGACTAAAGGTGACATTTGTAATGAGATGTTGTATTTAGTATAATGTATCATTGCAAACACTATTATTTATGTTTGACTTTCAATTAACTTCAAAAAATTCAAAATATTGAAAAATCAGATTCACTGATCTCTTTATGTTTGTCACTGAAGGATACTATAACAGGCCGGAATCATTTAATTTCATTCAATATATAAGTATAGATTCATAAATATTCTTGTTCAAGTTTGTCAGCTCAACAAATACAATATATTTTTAACCAGCCTATTCAACCTGTGTGTCAATAATGAAATTTGGGTCATTTGTATCATTCTTACCTCAACTGTAAAATGAACTTTTTTTTCGATCATTTCACATTTACCTACTCTACTTGGATACAAACGATTAACTTGACTTATATCTATGACTTATTGTATATATGTAATCATTCATAAGCAGGGAAATCATTGATGTAGAGATGTTTAATTCAAACAGTATGAAAGTGATATCATTAGTTACGCTGTTTAAACATCAGTAACAATGAAATAGATAATGCACAGTATTGATAGGCTCACCCGTGACGTAATGTCCCCACCTGTTGCTGTAACTATCTACCTCAATCGGCTGATACCAGATTTGGCAAAAAGTGTTTGAAAGAGGTTATGTATTGGGATAGGCCTAAGTCTTATATCCTGCAACATATAACTTAAGTCAGCAATTTTGTTTGAAAAGACACAGATAACAGAAAATATCAAATAAAGACTTTCACATTTATTATATTACTCTTTGAAATAGTATGAAACGATTAACCTTAGGCATATAGACTAGTAGTGGTGAATCTTCTCCCCCTCCCCGGGAACAATGCAATAGGCATTAATTTCTTAAGCCTGGTTGCCATTAAATCGCTAAATGCTATCGCGTACAGCTTTCGGCAACGCTGATTGGTAGGTCGAATCTAGAGAGCCTTCCCGACTGTGTTGAATTGAAGAGAGGTACACACGCGTAGATCGGAATTAGTATGAATTCAAGAAAACTATATTTATAAATCATGGACTGGAATTGTTTTCCAATTAAATTCGTTTATATGTACGTTTACTAATTGTCAATTATCTATACATCGATTTTCGCAGTTTGTTCATGTTCGACTAACGATTCTATTGCTTTGTAAAATTCCCGAGCGAATGAGTCGGAATAATCCAGTTCATGAGCCGATTCTATAGTTATGGATATCGATCGCTTCCGAATTGAAGCAGTGGGAACAGAGTCAGCCGGCATGGCTCGGATGAACCGGTATAGATAATGTGTCATTTTCTGTATTCATGAATTTGTTCACAATGACTGTGTGTACAATCAACAATATAAAAACTGAAAATATGAATCAATTTTGATGGCAGTATTTTGTAAACTGTTCCTGTACTCGGTTTCTTTAAGTTGATTTGTTTTAATGAAGTTTATAGGCATATACTCTATTTAATCCAGTGGCTCACATTCCAATTATTTATATTTGGTAAGCTCTATCATCACTAAAATCTAATCGACTATATTATTTATACTTATACCCATCCGCTATGTAACTTTAGACTCGATGACATAAACGCATGCATGCTTAATTGACTTTCGTGTGAAAGCTTTTGTGCGCGCAGACGTGAGTACGTACAGAACTGCCAAGACCACCTAATACGCCTGTCAATGTCTTTAGATAAGTCCTGACCTAGGCAAAGTGTGGTAATCAGTAAAAAGTGTAAGCATTTGTAATCTCTTACCTCACAGTTACTTACAACCAGCTTACGCAGTCTTGTGAGGTTTGTCACAACACTCCATAGTTCATTCATTTCAACCGACACAAAGTTTACGTTCAAGGAGCTGATGGTTTCAGCCCGTGCTGATGTTGCCAGAGAACGAATAAGCATCTCACCTTGCAACATTGCCGTGTCACTCCTATAGTCTTGGAGTGGCAGACCAACATTGACCTTGAGTTTAAAGTTCTCGAGATTTTTACACAATTCTAGGAACTCCTGGACAGATTTGGCAGAAATTCTCCAACAACTGTTTACTGCAACTTTTTTCAACTTTGGACAACTTCGCGCCAAAAGAAGGATGTCATCGTCTGTTAACTCGAAACCTCCGTTTATGTAGATTACTTCAAGGTTCTCAAGACCCGAGACAGTTTCAACGACAGATTTATTCCAAACAATGGGCAGTTTAAGATGTTTTAGATTTGTAAGAAGAGGAAGACTCTCAAATGCATCTTCATATACTTTCAAACCAGTCGTCCAACTTAGCTCTTCTACGAAGTGTCCGTACGTCAAGAAAATACGGACAATTATGGCATTGTACCACATAAGATTCATTCCAGAACGAATGTGAAGTCGTCGCCATAGGGATGGTGTAAACGCAAGAATCTTCTGCCATTTGGAACAGACCAACGCAAGCCGAGGTAGCCTATCTTTGATTGGGTGAAGGTATTGAAAAATCCTAGCACACAACTCATCTGGTAGGTTAAGGAAATGATTCATACTGGTGATAAGGGTCTTTTGTGGCATGTGGTGTTAAACGAAATAGGTAAGAAAAGAAAGCAGTCCCGGTGGGCACAGTGCGTGTGCTCCGATAGAGCTTCTGGAATGCTGTGTCAATCCTGCATACGCGTTTCCGGTTCACAACAAATAATGATACACGTGAGCGTATTGTCTATGTTCTTTTGTTTTATCTCTACGTATCAATAGGGCTACGGTTGACACGTGATGTCCGCGATATTGACGTATGCAAAGTTATCAGCAGAAACTATGAAATTAGACATTATCAGTTAAGTATGAGAATCCTACCAGCAGTCGGGCTATATATAGAAACCGACAAATTATTGATTGGTAAAAAGGTATTAAACCCAGGTGACCGAGTTTTCCTCAAAACCAAAGTCGCTGTACAGCAATAGCACTGTATACTCATTCGTTTCTGTTGTTGTTTAAAAAACTTTATTGACAGTGCTAATGACATAACAATTATATATATATATATATAAGATGTGTATAAGAGACAGGACTAGTAGTGGTGAATCTTCTCCCCCTCCCCGGGAACAATGCAATAGGCATTAACATTGTGTCTGTTTCTTAAGCCTGGTTGCCATTAAATCGCTAAATGCTATCGCGTACAGCTTTCGGCAACGCTGATTGGTAGGTCGAATCTAGAGAGCCTTCCCGACTGTGTTGAATTGAAGAGAGGTACACACGCGTAGATCGGAATTAGTATGAATTCAAGAAAACTATATTTATAAATCATGGACTGGAATTGTTTTCCAATTAAATTCGTTTATATGTACGTTTACTAATTGTCAATTATCTATACATCGATTTTCGCAGTTTGTTCATGTTCGACTAAATTTTGAGTGGCTATACATTCATTGACCGTCATATATTAGACGACACCGCTAAAGTTTATATAGTCAGCTTTTCTATTGTTACATTGTTCTACCGTTGTATTCATAGATTATCACTTACATAATGTATATCTATGTACTTTGATTTTTGTTATGTTCAGTACGGTAAACGCTGAAAAAGAGAGCAGGATCTCTTGAAATATTCGATGAATAAATTGTTTATATCCTGAAATGTCAACCGTGTTCATCTTCATTTTGATTTTTTGATATACATCATACATGTATATACATACATATATATAGGCCTATATATAAATATATATATATATTTGAATAAATACGGTATATATATATATATATATATATATATATATATACATATATGCTGTATTTATATACACTGTTCCCCGCACATCCTTAAAAACTATTAACCATAAATCTTTTTCTTTTGCCGTACCTACACTGTGGAATTCACTCCCTGCACACATTAAAAACTGTTCTTCTGTTGCTTCATTTAAAAAATTACTTAAAACTCACCTTTCCGTCATTAACGTGCAAAGCGCCTTTGATAATGCACCTCGGTCGTTTAATTGACGGTTTATAAATTCTTATGTTATTATAATTATTATTATTACCGTATTTATTCAAATAGATGCCCCGGGGCGTTTATAAAAGAAGGATTTTTGAAAGTGTTTGTTTATTCGAGTTAGGCGTTTATTTATTTTTTTATGAAAAATGGATACGTACCGTACTAAAATAACGCCCCTTAATTTCACTGTAAAATAATGTGGAACTGCAACACATAATTACCGCCAACTAATGTGTTATTGCGTGATCATAAAGACTTAAGCATATTGATCCCAACCAGGTTAGAAAAAACAGTGGAATTGCTGGGGGGATCCAGAATTTTTCAAAGAAGGGGGAGGGGGCACACAAGAGTTTCAGAATAGGTAAGTGAGTGCACATAACCTTGATTAGCACTGAAATTTTAAAAATTCAGTGGCAAAACGGGGGGGGGGGGGGACTTTCCCCCTCCCCCGGCCCCTACTGGATCTGCCCCATTAGAATTCTACTGTTATAGTAGAACATTAATACTGATAGCATTATGTTGAGAATGAAGTTGCTTCCTTTAGTGTTGTTTGCAGAAAAGATCACACGATTAACGCGAATCCAACTGCGCCGTTTGCGCATGCCTACTCTCAGTGGCGGATCCAGAGATGTCCGAAAAGGGGGGGGGGGGCGACGAAAGTGGAGGCGAAAGTGGAGGCGACCGAGTCAACACTACCTACCTTCATTTTTGTTTTATAGACTCCAGAAAATAACCTCTGAGGCGTTTTGGGCGATTATTTTGTTCGTTGTTTTTTTTTTTTTTTTTTTTTTTTTTTCGCTTTCCAAGAGTGAATCCGCTCCTGCTTACCCCTGGCGCAGATCCAGTTTTGCCACTAAATTTCAAAATTCCAATGAATATGTTGAAATTAGCGCTATTCTTTTATCTAATCTGAAAACCCAACCTGAATTCTGAATCTGCCCCTGCTGGCTGTCCTTAAATGTAGAAAGTATTTTGCAAGCCGTGAAGTCCAATTGCACGGCTGGATTGAAGGCTTAGCCTAACTAGGCCTACCTGCCCTGCCTCTGTTTAGGACTAGCTATATAATCATTTTATGATTTGAATAAATAAAAGTGTTTACATACCTAATCACTGATCGGTATGGGCCTAGCTTTAACAGGGTAAGCCTAACAGTAGTTGTAGTATCCGGCCTTGCCAAGGTACTTTCACTTTATGGCGATTTCAAAGTACAGTGGCCTAATCATTATGCAGTGTTAATTTATCATATTGTATGCTTCATTCAAGAACATTTTATATGGATCAATAAAATTGTATCAATCAAATCTAATTGACTGATTAAATATGATTTTAGCCTATAATGAATGTTACTATGTACCACAGAAAACCAACGCTTAACAATTGTACTGCATCAAGAATAGATTGGCCATAATATGCGCAATTAATGAAAGTGCCGGTAAAATTAATGGTGAAAGAGTTAGAGTACCTTTAAAAATACCTGAAAATTTTATGTTTAACCGTTATTATTTCAAGTACCGGTATTGCCTGTAATTTTTATGGGCATTTTTATTTTTTGGACTGAATTTATATTTTTCATCTGTAAGGTACTATACAAAGCTATTGCTTCCACTGTTAGCCTTTTTCCAAATCAGAAATTATTTAAATGATTATATTGTATGTTTGGCATAGAAATGAAGTTCATTAAATTGAAAAAAAAAATCGTTCAGAAGCTATTAAAAATATACACACAGCTTCAATTCGCTCTTTTGTTTCCACTACCCCCTCCAAAAAAATACGAAACCTGCCTACGGCCTATTAATAGACTGTTTAAAAAATAATTATTACCATTTCATAATGACTTGAAATTAAACGGTGACTGTCACGAATGAATGTGACCGTATGTTTATTTATTTTATATTTATCGAGGACAGCTCGTCGGGCAGTCAGACCATAAAACATATAAAATAGGCCCACACCAAGCCAACACATGTCTGTCACAGTCTGAGAGTGTCATTTTCGGCCATCTAGAGGTTGATATTCTTTAAAAAAAATCTCATTTGGGAGGGTAACCCCCTCCCTACCCCTTCTCCCAGCTCGAGCCTACGAGCTCAAGTCCCCCCTGTCGGACAACTTAGCCCCCAGAAAATATCCTGGAGCCGCCACTGCTCCACCCCTCCCAATAGGCCTATATATTACCTCAATTGACAATAAAGAGTAACATGAGCCCTGCGTCAGAGAAATTCATTCAAAATTGTGAAAAATAGCCTTAGAGGTATTAGATTAATACATCTGTATGGGCGACCATCTGGGTTGCTTTTAATGTAAAATCTGAGAAATGCTAAACATCGAGATTGAGGGATAATGTCCAGAGGGGTGACAAATTGATCATGAATAATACTGACATGATAACAATAATTTAAAAAAAATAAGCCTACAATACAAAGCTTAAGAAAAGTTCGAGCATTTATCCACTTTCCTGTGCTCGTTTTGCATACAGCAGAATTGCCCAACTACCAACAAGCAAGGGATGTAGAAGATGGAAGACAGGCTACCTTCCCAACCATATTATAAGCAAAATAAGTCTGCGCGTTATCAAATAATAGAGGGCGGCAGCCATGTTTTCCGTTATCAGCTTGGATCATAGAGCTATTAAACAACTAGAGTGCTGACAAGATGGCGGAGCAATGCAGAGTTATGTATGTGTACCATCCAAGATGGCCGTCGTAATAAAGCGCCACCTTCAGGCTTAGTATACATATTATTACCATAAATAAGCCCTCTGACTGACTATTATTTTATTAATGATAATGGGTAATTATAATAACAAATTATTAAACTATCGTAGCCAAAACGAGGCCAAGTAGAGCATCCTATTAAAAAATAAAGTACCAAGAAATGAAAATTAAAATCGTGTAGATTACGCCCATACACCGCAACGCTCGAGTTTCAAACATGATGTACTGAATGTTCTGTGTAAATTGAGGGCGCAATTGCAAACGACGGCGCTTAGGCGAAATTTGATTGGCTGAATCTATGGCAGCCATCTTGGATGGTACACACACACAGTTCTGCGTATTTCGAACATCGAATACATTGCGGTTAGCGCTCTAGTATTCTTATTATACCTCTATGGCTTGGATACAACTCCTGATAAAATAAACGAGGTGAAAATATCGTTAAATGTAAAAAAAGTAGGCCTACAATCTGTTATTTTAGTAATTTCAATTTACTTATTCATATTTCATAGTTCATAGGCCTATTTTATTAGGATTTACTATATTCCTGTTCTCCATCTTCGTTCCTCGTCACTAAAAATCTGACAAAAAAAAAAACAAAAAAAAAAAAACTTTTAT